ACTTCAGCAGGTACCACCCACCTGCTCCAAAGTCTATCATTGCCAACAGCAGGGCTGAAAGCTTACTTAAGAAAAAGAAAAAGTCACACAATCAAAACAAAAAGATCCTCACAGCTCACTCCTGCACGGTCGAGAATTCCACCCAGATGACCCAGAAACCTAATCCTGCCCACAGCCAGATTCTTTACTGAACCGGTACCTCCTAGCTGAACTCTGGGCTGCGCCAGCCAGAGTGATCCAAGCCATCACCCAGCCAGGGAAATGCTAGGAAAAGCTGAAGGCGGCGGGAAGAGAGGAAGACCCAACAGGAGATGGATCGACTCAGTCAAGGGGGGCACAAAGGCCCTCAACTTTGCCGGACCTCAGCAAGGCTGTTTGGGGGGGGCACACTCATTCACAGGGTCGCCCTAAGTTGGAAGGGACCTGATGGCACTTGGCACGCAAGTCTGGGATCCTGGCAACCTCAGACAGTGGCTGCCATTTCGGGTTCCCAGTTGATGAAAAGACACCTGGACACCCAAACGACTGGGAGCAGTGTTCCCTCTAAGCTGAGTTAGCGTGAGCTAGCTCACAGTTTTTACCCTTCAGCTCACATATTTTTGCCTTCGCTCAGGAAGGGATGGCTACAGAGCAAGTTAATTTATCCAGTAGCCAGGTCACTCGCTCACAACTTTGATGCCAGCCACTCACAAAGTAGAATTTTTGCTCACAGGACTCCACAGCTTAGAGGGAACATTGACTGGGAGCGCCTTCAAATTATTCTCGGTACAACTTCCAGTTGGGTGAGGGTTAGACCATTGCAAACCCTGACCTGAGTCATTCAGGAGAGCCCGATCTCATCAGATCTCGGCAGTGAAGTGGGGTTGACCCTGGCTCGTCTTTGGACGGGAGACCTCCAAGGAACACCAGGCAGGCAATGGCCAGCCGTCTCTGAACGCCTCCTGCCTGGAAAACCCGACGGGGTTGCCATAAGTCAGCTGGGGCACTCCCCCCACCACCACCACATTGCAGCAAAAAAAAAAAGAGTCCTGCAGAACTCAAATGCAGCCTGGCCTGTGGCTATTCCCTTCCACAGGAAGGGCGGCCGACAGAACGGGAGGCTCTGGCCGGGCAGAAGAACCTGTGTCCGTAGACAAAGGGGCTGGCCCAGCGGCTCAGCTCATTCCTTCTGAACAGCTCTGTCGCGGGTTCCAGCCACGAAGAAGTTCCCGTCCTGTTCGCTATGTACATTTCACAAAGGTGGCCCTCCCAGCCTTTAATGACTGGTGTTCATGCAACTTTTTTTTTAAAAAAATGCATGGACTGCGGGGAGAAGCAGCAGCAGCATGAGCCAGTCCAAACATTCAGAAGGACTTCATTCAGTCTTGGGAAGGCCGTACAACTGAAGAGTGCGCCTGGGGGTGGGGGTGAGGTCTATCGGTTGGTTAAATACTCCCTTCGCATTCCCTGATGAACACTCCGCTTGCTTGCTTGCTTCATTATTTTTACATATGTGCTGTTTTTAAGGCTGGGATGGCCCAGGCCAGCCCGGTCTTGTCAGATCTCAGAAGCTAAGCAGGGTCAGCCCTGGTTAGTTGCTGGATGGGAGACCACCCAGGAGACCCAGGGAAATACGCAGAGGCAGGCAGTCACAAACCACCCCCTGTTCGTCTCTTGCCTTGCAAACCCTACAGAGTTACTATTAGGTGGGCTGCAACCTGATGACGCTTTCCACCACCCCTGTTTTTAAAAGTTGATTTTTAATGCCTTTTGTTTGCCATGTTCAGGGCCCTAATGGAGCTGGCATGTAAATTTTTACGTAAATAAAAATCAGTAGAAAGTATTAAAAAATCTTCGTATACAGAAAGGCACACAGCGAGGAGACGGGTACTAGCCTATCCTTCTCAGTGCATCGAGAGTTCCCTGTGCACGTGGAAGGTTTGACCTGGGTGAGTTCAAGCAGTGGCTTAATTAGGAAGGTCTGGTACTCTGCTTTTGATAACTGAGCTGAAATGTATGACGGGTAAAAGACTGACTGGTTATTTTATTTTACTAATATGTGTATTAGAACAAAGTTTGGGTCCAGTGGCACCTTTAAGACCAACAAAGTTTAATTCTGGGTATACGCTTTCATGGGCACGCGTACTTCCTCAGAAGGCTTATAGCTACAGTTTCAAAGTCAAATTCAAAACCTTTAATGGCATATAGAGGTAAATTAGAATTAGATACGAACAGGGTCTAAGATGGATAAAATCAGATTAAAAAGTACAATCTAAAAATGATAATTAGATCAATAAGAAAACAATGCCTAAAAACAAAATCAGGCAATTATTCATTGGCTTTACCTAGAAAAGGATAACCCTTGTGCAATAGTATAGCCAAGTACTCAGCCACTAAACACGGGGGTATACCTACCAAGAATTAAAGTTTGTTGGTCTTGAAGGTGTCCCTGGACTCAAGCTTTTTTCTATTGCTTCAGAGCAACATGGCTACCCCACCTGACTCTAATGTGTGGATTGTTGCAAAGATGCCACTGGAGTCAAGATTGGTTCCGTCTCTCAGAAGAAAAGACACGTTGACACTACCTTATGCTGAAACAGACCCTTGGTCCCTCAGAGTTCATGACTATGCCAAATTTTGTCCAGTGGTCTGTATTTCTGTCTTTAATTTAATTGCCAAGAAGGTGATTACAGCTAATAAATTCAATAGAGATCCTTTTTTAAAAAAGAGGAAGCCCCAACCAGCATCCTAAAGTGCTAGCTGCAGCCCTGGAGGACCATGTCACAGCCTTGAGCTGTGCATTGGAATCAGGCCTGGGCAATGGACAGTGCCGCCACCCAATCATTCAGGCAGCAGCAGAAACGTGCTTCTCAGTGGTTCAGCCTGAGAACCACCCATTGGGGTAGACTGTTATTACACCAATATGTTGTTGCGGGCATTCATGGCCGGAGTTCATTAGTTGCTGTAGATTTTCTGGGTTGTGTGGCCGTGGTCTTGGCATCATAGAACCTGACGTTTCGCCAGTAGCTGTGACTGGCATCCTCAGAGGTATAACACTGAAAGATGGAGTACTCTCTGTACCAAGGTGAGAAGAAAAATGGTAGGCAGGTAATTTAGATCTACTCCAGAAGGTGGGGTAGGGCTGAGTCATTATCTTGTAGGAGTTCCTCAGGCTATGAACATGCTAATGGAGGAGCTTTCCTGAGGAGGCTCTTTTGTATATGAATTGTTTTCTGAGGTTTCCTGTTTCCTAAGGAGGTTCTTTTGTATGCGGATTGGCTGTTGAAATTCTAATCTTATCTGTAGTGCTATTGTCAGATGTAGAGCCTTTTGTGTTTTCTCACCTTGGTACAGAGAGTCCTCCATCTTTCTGCGTTATACCTCTGAGGATGCCAGTCACAGCTACTGGCGAAACGTCAGGTCCTACGATGCCAAGACCACGGCCGCACAACCTGGAAAATCTACAGCAACTAATGTTATCATCCTTTTTCTTACAGATTTTTTTTTGGGGGGGGTGTTTGAGGCTGACAGCGCCTGACTCGCTCAAAGCTCGACGAGGAAGATTCCCTTAGGACGTGGCGCTGCAGCCAGGTTCCACACACACTCAGAGACGACTACCAGGCGTGGTTTAAATAATAGTCAAAGTGTTTTTTATTTACTCCTCGGAAAGCTCCCACATCATCGGCCCCCTGAGGTCCCAGGAGCAAGGGTGGTGGTGGTGGCAGCGGGGTATCACGATTGTTTACCTGCGGTTTCCTCCTGAGGCAAAGTGGGGGTTTTCTGCAGCCCCTGGGGCTCGCTGCTCTTTTCGCTGCTGCTCTCCTCTCTGCTGGCTGCAGACTCCTGGTTTTTGATGAACTGGCTCAGCAACACCGCCAGTACGTTCTGCATGTCTCCCTGAGGGGCAGCGGCTTCTGGGGTGGACTGCTCCTCGGGCGGCTGGGGCAGCGCCGGTGGCTCCTCGGCGGTGGCTTCCTCTTCAGCGGCCTTCTGAGAGCCCTGCTGCGTGGTCGTGGTGACTTCGTTCAGGGCGGTGATGGACTGGTTGAGGGCCTCCAGCTGTTGCTGCATCTCCGGGTTCGAGTGGATGTTGAGCAGCTGGGCCATCTGCGGGACGCTGAGGTCGGTCTGGCTTTGCAACAAGTTCAGCAAGACGGCCAGCTCGCTCTGGTTCAGCTGCTGCGTGATGTCGCCAAGTCCGGCTGCAAAAAATGAGAGGCAGCCGCAACGGGAAGAAAAAACAACAACAGATCAAGGTCTGAGGAATGGAAGAGTGAACAATGGAATGCTTGCTTGCAACAGTATCTGGCAACCATCCGTCAGAAGCAGGGGTCATTTAGTAGAAAAAGAGGTGCAGGAGCTCATTAGCATAACTCATTTGCATATGCCACACCCCCTGACATCACCGGAAGTGTGTCAGACGGCAACACCCACTACTCAGGCATCACTGGACTGTTCTGGACTGCTAGCTATTGGGGGGGAGGGAACGTGCAGATCTGTCCTCGCAGAGGAGGGAGAGCTTGTACCTGAATAAAACCTGGTCTTAAAGGTGCCACTGTCTTGGGCCGGGGGGAGCTCTGCAGCTTACCTGGCTGCTTCTTGCTCTGACTGAGGGCTGCTGGGAGCAGGGGGTGGGGCTTATTGCACGTGCCCGCCCCCTGGGCTCTTTACTGCCGGAGCTCTGCTCCTGTGTGCTCCTGCAGGAAATGTCCCCTGCTCAGAAGACAGATTCAGGTGGGTGGCCGTGTCAGCCCGAAGCAACAGCACCAAGTTTGAGTCTGGTGGCACCTTTAAGACCAACAAAGTTTAATTCTGGGTACGAGATTTCGTGTGCACATGAAAGCTTACGCTCAGAATTAAACTTTGTTGGTCTTAAAGGTGCCCCTGGACTCAAACTTGGTTCCATCTCTCAAAAGTGAAGACACATGAATTTGCCTGATGCTGAAACAGAGTCAGGACTGTCTACTCAGACTGGCAGCGGCTCTCCAGGGTCTCAGGCAAAGAGGCCTTTCCCATCACCTCCTGCCAGATCTTTTTTTTTTTACAACTGGTGATACCGGGGATTGAACCTGGGACCTTCTGGATGCCACGTGGATGCTCTACCATTGAGCCACAGCCCACTAAGACATTTGCTTTCCTTCCCAAAGGCTGGGTGGGTGGTTTTTTTGTAGGTTTTTTTTTTTTGGTGATTGCCAAATGCAGGGGCCTAGCTATCCAGGGACACAGCCTGTGGCTGCAAGCACACACTGGGGAATCACCACTGGCCGAGCCAAGTCCAGTCACCCAATAATAGTAAGAAGAAGGAGGTGCTGTCGAGTCACGACCAACACAGGGAGTCGCCCCCTCTGCGGGGCGTGTTCCAGGCAATCGAGTAGAAGGGGCTTCTCATGGTCTTCCCCCGCACACCAAACCTGGGGGCTGATTCTGCTTAGCTTCCAAGTTCTAACGAGCCCTGGCTAAACAGGGTGATTTGGGGTCACTCCAACAAACATACCAAGAAATGTTACCCATCTCCTATGATTCTGTGAGGCTGGGCAAACACTTGTCAGGGATGTTCTAGGTTGATTCTGCACAGAGCAGGGGAGCTGGACTAGATGGCCTCTAGGGTCCCTTCCAACTCTGTGATTCTATGAGGGCCTGAAAGTCCCTGACCTGTCCAGCAAACGTTCATCTACTGGTATGACAAGGTGTAGGGAGTTTAATCTTTTCCCCTCCAGACAAGTGTGCACACTGTCTGACGCTGACTGAGGCTGAGACTGACTGTCTCTGAACGTGGAGGTTCCTTTTAGACACCAGGGCTAGTAGCCACTGACAGATCTCTCCTCCGTGAATCTCTCCAATCCCCCTTTTAAAGCTGTGCATTCCTTTGGCTATCACCACATCCTGTGGCAGCAAATTCCACATTTTAATCACTTCCTGTGGAAAGAAGTATGTTCTTTTGGTCTGCCCTGAACCAACTGCCGTTTAGCTTCGTGGGATGCCCTCAAATTCTAGTATTTTGGGAGAGGGAGGAAAAAGTTCTCTTGGTCCACTCTCTCCACCCCATTCCTAATTTTAGAAACCTCTCTATCATGTCCCCCCTTAAACGTCTCCTTTCTAAACTGAAAAGTCCCAGACTCTTCAGCCTTTCCTCATAAGGAGGGTGCTCCCACCCCCGAATCATCTTGGCTGCCCCTCCTCTGTACTTTTTCCAGCTTTGCTTGTTCACAGCATCCAGGCCACGGCTGCAACAGTTAAAACTCCACGTGCCACAGGATTTGTCCAAAGAGAACTGGCTTTTTCTCCATCACTCTGTGTTATGCCCGGCTTTTTTCTTTTGGAAAAAGAGGTGCCGGAGCTCTCAAGAGGGAAATGAAGTTTTCAATTTTTACACCGAAAACTCATTAACTTTTAAAAGTTTTAAAAAGAATTTTTGTTGAAGAGGTTCCGGAACTCCGTTCCGGCATGCTCCCCCAGAAAAAAAGCTCTGGTGTTATGGAACTTAACCTGGTTGCCTAGAGAGGAACAAGCAGCTGTCATTTGATTGGTCCTAATAAAAAGGTAGGGCTGCGGTGGCTCAACTGGTTAAGACGCTGAACTGCAGACCAGAAGGTCAGTAGTTCAGCAGTTCGAGACCCGAGTTGCTGCATGACAGAGTGAGCTCCCATCTCTAATTCCAGCTCCTGCCAACCTAGCAGTTTGAAAGCAAGAAATTGCAAGTAGATAAATAGGTACCAGTTCAGTGGGAAGGTAACAGCGTTCCATGCGCCTTGGTGTTTAGTCATGCCGGCCACATGACCACGGAAACGTCTTTGGACAGCGCTGGCTCTTCGGCTTGGAAACAGAGATGAGCGCCGCATCCCTAGAGTCGGATTCGACTGGCTTTCGAGCAAGGGAAACCTTTACCTTTACTAACAAAAAGGTATTATGTGGATTGTATTCTGGGATTCCAGCAAAGATGAGCGCGGTGTTAAAACTGCATCAGTACTGTCAACTACCTATAATTTGGTGACTGTCCCAGGCCACACACTGACCGAATGAGTCTCCGGCACTTGGGTGGCTTTTGATCTGGGCAGGCGGTGGTTGTGCCGGACTGCTGTGGTTCTTGATGGCGTCTGTGCTGACTGTGGAGGCTGTCTCCTTCCGGGAAACCTTTGCTAAAGGGGGCTCTTCTACCAGGATCCCGCTTTGCCGTTGCCGTCGACGTTTCTTGCTCCACAGTTCGTGGCAATCTTGCCAGTGAGGGAGGCTGGAAAGACAGGCATGCAGACGTTACTGAGAAGGAAAGAATGAAGGTAAGTGGCTTTGGGGGGGGGGGGGGGGGGCGGCCCGCACGGCTCTTTCCTCCAGTTCACTGGAGGCACTGGCACTTCTCACTCCACGTTTTCCACTAATGGTAGAGAATATGAACACACGAAACTGCCTTATCCTGAATCAGAGCCTTGGTTCATCAAAGTCAGTACTGTCTACTCAGACTGACTCTCCAGGGTCTCAGGCTGAGGTCTTTCCCATCGCCTGCCGCCTGGGTCTTTTTAACTGGAGATGTCGGGGACTGAACCCGCAACTTTCTGCATGCTAAGCAGAGGCTCCACCACTGAGCTACAGTCCCCTCCGGAAACACGGGAAGCAGTGGAATCAGCCACACGCTGCTCTGAACTAGAGAGAAAGGCAGAGGCAAGCAAGACTCAAGTAAACCTTCTGCCTTCTCCACAGCGCAGTGTTAACACACCAGAAGTCTCCTGTGCGTGTCAGCAGGTAGGCAGGGGTAACATGGACCTCCAATAATGGCTGGCTAACAATCGAAGCCAGAATTTGTGGATTCATGCAGCAAGACACAAATGAACCTTGGAACTTGCCACAGAACAAAGTTTTGGGCAGATCAGAACCGGCAATCTACTGCGCTGTCGAAGGCTTTCAATCACGGCCGGAGTTCCGGGCTGTACGGCCGTGGTCTTGGCATTGTGGTACCTGACATTTCGCCAGGAGCTGTGACTGGCATCCTCAGAGGTGTAACACAGAAAGATGGAGTACTGACTGGAACTCCAGAGGTTTCATATTCCATGAGGCCAGGGCTATAGCCAGGATTTTTGACTTTGGGGGGGCACTTAAATAAGTTGGGGGGCACTGTGTCACGAGCGATGAGAGAGTAAAAGTTTTAAAAAGTGATGGGGGGGGGGGCCGGGAATAGGGATCAGCAGATGTGCCCTGTGGTGTGCCTCGCCCGCAGCCAGCCAGAGGTACACTGCTGGCAAGCAGGGCAGGGTGACGGCTCAACTTGGCGTGGCCGTGGTGCACACAGAAAATAAAATAAACCAGCTAGATGGGAAGCTGGGAGGCCAGGCTGGTAAGTCGGGGGGCCTGGCCGCAAGATGCCCCATTGTAGCTACGAGCCTGCCTCATTTTCTAAAGGAAGCTGTGGGAGCCAGGACTTTGAAGGAAAGCCACAGGACACGCAGATGGCTAGACAGTCCCCATTCTTTCAGATGAATCAGGACACAGTACCTGGATGGGTTAAAAAAAAAACCCCTCATTCCCACCCCCCCATGAGCATAATGCAAATGTTCAAAACATGACCAAAAAGATGACATCAAATAACCACAGAAATCTTCCAGTTAACAAGCTCACAACTCGACCACCTCATGCGCATGAAGAACAGAAAGCTCCCTGCGGTACATGTAGGGCTTAGACCAGGCCTAAGAGACTAGGCCCTGTTTGACACACCAACGCTCTCTGGCCAGGGGAACCGGGGGGCTGGGGGGGGGGAGAAGCCACTTACTCCGGAGGATCCATCTTGCTGACATCGACTTCTTTCAGGAAGTCACTCTGCAAGGCCTGCTCTGCTGTGCATCGTTTATTGGGGTCCAGAGTCAGCATATGGTCCAGCAGGTCGAGAGCAGCGGAAGGGATGCTGAGCAAAGCACAGGGAGAAAAATCAGGACGAACGGGCCCGCTGGTGGCGGCAACAACGGACGTTATTCTTCCTACCAGCAAACTTTCTCAGTGAACTTTTTGAATTCCTCTCACGGTGTCATGTCAGATAAGACTCTACTATTAGAACATAAGAGATGCCAAATGTTGGATCAGGCCAGTGGCCCATCCAGTCCAACACTCTGTGTCACACAGTGGCCCAAACCCAGGGGCCATCAGGAGATCCACCAGCGGGGCTGGAACTCCAGAAGCCCCCCACACACACTGTTGCCCCCCAAGCACCAAGAATGCAGAGCATCACTGCCCCAGACAGAGTGTTCCATTTGTACCTGGTGGCGAATAGCCACTGATGGACCTCTGCTCCGTATGTTTATTACTCCTGCATTACCTATGGGGCAAGAGGGTGGGGCTTGCCTAAGAACACACAGTGTCTACTTACAGCCAGCGAGGCCTTTTTGGACTAAGGGTCTAAAATGGCAACCCCTCACATACCCTTCCGTGAACATAAGCCCGCTGGACGTTAGCTCCGTGCCAGCATGCACAGCACTGAGCTGTTCCGGGATCTCATTATATTTGCATCACACCCTTCCTCTTCCCAAGGAGCCGAGAACAGCACTGTGGCTTCACAACCACCCTAGGAGGTTGGTTCTGCTGAGAAGCCATACCTCGATCCTGAGCCGTATTTACATAGACGCAGCTCACCTCCAGGCAACCCAGGGAAGGTCCTTATGCTGTGGGGGAGGCAGCTACTGCTGCTGACGCCACTTTTCAAGAACCTGCCCAGCCAATCAGGCCTGCTGCGGCCAAACAGAAGCCCTGCTGGGGAGCCTCTCTGGAACTTTCCAGCAAAGGAGGGGGGGCGCGCTTCCCTGGTCCCACCAACTTCCCAAGACACTTGGCAGGTGCCAGGAAAGGTGCCCGTGGATGCCACGGTGCCCAGAGGCACCTCTGGTCCCCCCAACATGCCCAGAAAGTGCATTCTCTTTCAGGGCCTGTCAGAAGTACACTTGTCCCACTTTGAGATCTCTCCACTGGCTGCCTGTTTTTAGGCAAAAACCGAGAGAGAGGGGGGAAAGGGAGGGGGGAGGAAACTCAACCCAAAACGTAGCTGTAATCTAAGAGGATCAAGCTAACAAATACAAAAATTTATGATGGTGTACACATAAATAAAACAGGGGGTAAAGGGAAAGGTTTCCCTTGTTCGAAAGCAAGTTGAATCCGACTCTAGGGTTGCAGTGCTCATCTCCGTTTCCAAGCCGAAAAGCCAGCGCTGTCCGAAGGCATTTCCGTGGCCATGTGGCCGGCATGAAAAGATGCCGAAGCGCACGGAACGCTGTTACCTTCCTGCCAAAGTGGTACCTATTTATCTACTTGCAATTTCTTGCTTTCGAACTGTTAGGTTGGCAGGAGCTGGGACCAGAGATGGGAGCTCACTCCGTCACACAACACTCGGGTCTTGAACTGCTGAACTACCCGACCTTCCGGTTTGCAGTTCAGCATCTTAACCACTACATAAGGTTAAAAGAAATATTCCAAATATCCAACTCTTAAAGCTTAGTACATTCAGAACTGATAGTTATACATGTACAATTGATGGGTAAAACATTCGATCAATAGACCACACGCGTTTCGGCCCCTTTGGGTCTTCCTCAGTGGTCAATATTTCTATAGAACAGTAACACACATCCTGAAATGAATATATGAAGAATTTTTCTACAGAGCCAGGTGTCGCTTTCTCATATGCTTCGCAGTTGCTAAAAGTTTGTATGATGGGCCATGGATAGTAACTGCACAAATTCTCCGAATTATCCTGGTAACAAATATCCAGTGTGTCAGCATTTGTGTCACTTCCATCAAAGGTAGTAGTCTAACGCGTATGGTCTATTGGTCAAAAGTTTTACCCATCAATTGTACATGTATAACTATCAGCTCTGAATGTACTAAGCTTTAAGAGTTGGATATTTGGAATATTTCTTTTAACCTTATGTATGTTTTATTTATGTGTAAAGGTAAAGGTTTCCCCTTGCTCGAAAGCCAGTCGAATCAGACTCTAGGGTTGCGGTGCTCGCCTCCGTTTCCAAGCCGAAGAGCCAGCGCTAAACGCTGAGGCGCACGGAACGCGGTTACCTTCCCACCGAAGCGGTACCTATTTATCTACTTGCAATTTCTTGCTTTTGAACTGCCAGCGCTGTCCGAAGACATTTCCGTGGCCATGTGGCCGGCATGAAAAGATGCCGAAGCGCACGGAACGCTGTTACCTTCCTGCCAAAGTGGTACCTATTTATCTACTTGCAATTTCTTGCTTTCGAACTGCTAGGTTGGCAGGAGCTGGAACCAGAGACTGGAGCTCACTCCATCATGCGGCACTCGAGTCTCGAACTGCTGAACTACCGACCTTCCAGCCTGAAGTTCAGCATCTTAACCACTTGAGCCACAGCAGCTCCATATTTATGTGTACACCATAATAAATATTTGCCTGTTTTTAGGTTCAGTTCACAGAGCTGGTGCTTACTTGTTAAATCCCTTCACATCCGGAGTCCAATGTTCTGGAAGGATCACCTCTCTTTCTGGGCCTGTCAGGAATGGGCTTGTCCCATTCTGAGATCTCTCTGTGGTTTGCAAGTCATCTTTAAGGGCAGCCCCACCTGGCATCCAGAATCTGGATGCCGCCAACGAAAAACCACATCCCTCCAGCCACTCACCAAACCTCGGGCAAATGTACGTCCTACGCTTTCACGGCCTTATCAGGGCCATAAGAATTTACAGAGACACCCCCACACCCCCCAGGTTTTAAAACTCACAAGGAAAACTCTTCCCGCAGGCGCCTTCGGTATTGCTTCTTCGGTTTCATGGTGTTGAAGTAGGGTAATTTGATGACATCTGGCCACACGGCTGGGCAGGGACTCCCGCAGAGTCGGCTGCAAGACAGTTGGAAGGGGAAATAGTTGGGAGAGACTTGCACTGGAAATGACTACTCTCAACTAGTCACACCAAATGGTACGTTGGCCCTTTGGGTTTTGCACCCAGACATTTCCTGAAATCCTACTACATAGTTAGATGAAGCAGAGTTCCCTGTTAAGAGCAGACCGGCCTATGGATACTCAGGACGTGAAGTACAGGGGAAGTGGCTCTTTTCCACCTAACCTGGTGCCAGCTATGTGAGCATTCAAATGAAATCCACAAGAAAGGAAAATGCCCTCCCAAGAGGCTTTGAGAGAGTCACGTCTCTTTGTGTTGGAGTGGCACCGAATTCTTACATCAAGTAGCTCCTTTCTAATCACACAGCGATCGTGGTTTGCTCGCCCAGAGCCACTAGCTACCCTTACAACATTACTATTGGATCCAGACGGCATAAAAAAGGTTTTTTTGACCTGGAGACAAAGGTACACAATTGAATCATTACTCAAGGGAAGTGTACCTAGCAGGAAGTTATCTAGAATGAGGCCTCTGATTTATATCTCTGCCTTAGGTCACAGATAATGATTATAAAGCAATCTCGAGGAGGAGGAGGAGGAGGAGGAGGAGGAGAAGAGACTGGATTTATACCCTGTCCTTCACTACCCAAGGGAGTCTCAGAGCGGCTTACAATCTCCGTTCCCTTCCCCTCCCCACAACAGACACCCTGTGAGAGAGGTCTGACAGAAACTGCTCTTTTTTCAAGGACAGCTACGGCTTGCCCAAGGTCATCCAGCCAGGTGCAAGTGGAGGAGTGGGGAATCAAACCCGGTTCCCCCAGATTAGAGTCTGCGCACTTAAACACTACACCATATTAAGAAATGACTGTATTATTGTAATGTCTGGAGCCACTCGGTAACAATATTGTGTGACCAGTGAGGAAGGCCAAGTGGGTCACTTTGAGAGTAATGTGTAATTTTATTCTGAATTGAGGCTGAACCATCCTGCTTGGCGCAGAGCATGGAGCAGGAGAGGAGATGCCCAGACCTGAAGCTGGGGCAACAGCGGGGGACCAAGGTTTCTGGTGGTGTTGCTACACCAGACAGCAAAGGCCTATTTTTAATTGAATTTGCAATAAATACATGTTTTTTTTTGTATATTTGGTAATATTTATGCTTCAAGTTTATACACAGAATTATTGGGCCCTTATATTCTGATTTCCTTAACCTTTTCATTCTTAATTAAATTCTTTTTTGGGTTAAGTCCCACCGCTTCCTCTGTCTCTTCCAGAGCGACTAGATGACCAGGCCTCCCAACCAACCTGCAACAAAGGTAAGCCTTTGGTAGCCCTGGAAAAAGCTGGCTGCCTGTTAAGACCAGCCAGCGTCACCAAGGCTGAAGATACAAAGGGCTCTCTTCGGAAGGTTTTCCCCCCATGGGCACAAACAATGCGTTACCTGATCAATTCAAGCTGGGACAACTCAAGATTGGCTTGAAAGATGGGCTTCTTTGTGAACAGTTCTCCAAGGATGCAGCTGGGAAAGAAAAAAGGGGGGAAACGTGTTGAAATAAGCAGCAAAAATACTGCGGTGAGTATCTGAACAGGGGATGAGCAACTCCGCTTAGGAGGACTTTTTAAAATCAAAGATCAGTAGCCAGGCAACCTGCCTGTAGGTCCACCCACCTCTAGGAAGACACAAACATCTTAAAGTTGCCTTGCGGAAAAGCCATCCCTGGGGTCTATGTGCCATTCCCATAGGTGGCTGCAAAGCAAGGCCAGAAAGTCCGACTGGATTCCATTAAGAAAGGTAGCCTCAAAGAGAGGGAGACAGGAAGCGACTGTCGCGATTAGGATGGGCTGGGCTGCTTTGAATCTTTTCCTTCGAACCAGGAAAAAACAGAGCAGCATTCTGTATTCCTCACTGCCTCACGGAGAAATCTTCTTGCAACCAAGAATGCCATGTTGCTGCTGCTAAGTTTTAAGGGGAGCGATGAGCTGTATGGAAAAGCCCAGACTTCTTGGGCACCTTGACACAAACAGCCCCTTCTCGTCCACGCTAAATTTAAGTGCCTTTTCAGCTTTCGTACCACAGCTACTTTTTAATAAAAAATAACTCTTACGGTGTGTGTTTTAGCGAGTCGTCACATACAGATAAAAGCTGCTGTTCACACAGAAGATTCTTAATCAGGGTATCGGTATCAGAAGGCAGAAAGAGTTAAAAGTTACTGGCTCACCCACAACTCCAGACGTCGATGGCTGGTGTGTAGCGTTCTTCCCCTAGCAGCAACTCAGGCGGTCGATACCATAACGTAATAACTTTATTGGTGTATGGACGGCTTAAAGAGAAAGAAAGAAGATAAATAATACCCTTACGTTCTAATGGAGAAACATTTGGAGCAGAGGTCCACAGTGGCTATTAGCCACAAGGTACAGATGGAACACTATGTCTGGGGCAGTGATGCTCTGTATTCTCAGGTGCTTGGGGGGCCACAGTGGGAGGGTTTCTGGAGTTCTGGCCTCACTGGGGGACCTCCTGATGACAACTGAGTTTTGGCCACTGTCTGACACAGAGTGTTAGACTATATGGGCCATTGGCGTGATCCAGCAAGGCTTCTCTTACGTTCTTACCCTGGGGGTTTGGAGAATTACATAAGGAATCAGAGCACACACAGCAGAGCTGGAATTGTGTAGCAATCTAAAGTTTATTTATTTATTTGGGGTTGACAATGAGGGTTTTTTTAAAAATCAGTCTCTTGGCCCTGCCTGACCCTCTTCACTCACACAGTGACTTGCATAGAAGCCCGTGGACTGGACAATTATGAAATGTGTACATTAAGTGCCTACGCAGCAGCCATGAAGGAAAGGACAATCACATGGGTCTTCTACATCCAATCAGCACTCAACCAAGAGATAGCCAATCAGGTGGGATAATGTTTTATCCAAGTCACATGTCAGGTGCTTTCATAGGTGATGCTGACGGGCTTAGAAAGGTGTAACTCTGCTTAGCGTGGTAGTCTTCATGAGTAAAAGCTATACAGCTATACTGGCCAATGCAACATCCAACAACAACAACAAATTGGGTGCTAATGAGGCCAAGGTCACAATGGGATTCGAACCCAGGTCCACAAGCTCAACGGAGCAACAGCGAAGCACCAGTACCACATACTGGGCAACCCCCCTTGAGACAAATGGGAAATATGCCAGACAGCTCTTGTGCCCTTTCACAAGCAACAGGATTCATGCAGCTGGAGACAGCCCTGGCAGACAGCAACTCAATCCATGACCTGCCCCCCCCACACACACACCCCCAAACCTCTCACCTTTCTTCTGAACTGTAGAGTCGGGCAAGTCCAAAGTCAGCTAGTTTGATCTGCCCGCTGACAAAAAAGAAGATAACAGTGGACAATTACTAACAAGGACTCATACAAACACACAAATAGGCCACCGGGAATCAGTAGCACTGACCAGAAGGAGCATAATTGCGGGCACCCCAGACAAATCTTGCCACCCAAGCGCTCCTGGGCGGGAACGGTCTCACCCACACGGGAGAATGGCGAGTGTGTTTCTAAGAACTTTATGTCAACATCCATGTGTTCTATAAGTCTGGCTGTAGATCATATCAATCTGTTTGACAGGAGCTGACAGCTCAGGGTGTCAGTAGCGCTGGCTCCAACAGGTTCTGTCTAGTTGATAGCAGAGCTAATTAACAGTGACTCAGCATTGGGTCCTGATTGGACAATGCTAGTATAAATGTGGTGCTGTACAATGTACTACCCTTCCTGATGCAAACCTGGTGTCTGCGTGAGCATTTTGTCGTTCTGTGCAATATATTGGTGGAGGCTCGTGTAAATGAAGTGTATATAGTTTTACACCAAGCCTATAAGACTTACGTCTTCTTTGATACTCTCACACCACTCGCAACCTGCAGTGGGCTAGCACCGCGCAAACCTCGATACTTTAAAAGAGAACAAGTGGATCGGCATAGTGTGCATCTCCAGAAGGTCCTCAGAGAGAAACCTGATGGACAGACAGGTAGAGCCATCTGCCCTTGTTTGAAAATGGGAGGCTCTAGGTTAGACCCAGACTGAAATCTCTGCTTACAGAATATCTCCCACAGTTCCCCTTTCCAGCTCCAGATCTCTGGCACTTCTCACACTGTTCCTGATGGTTCCCCCTGACCCTCAGGAGCAGCATTGGGGATGGGGGGACATTCTGCCCCACGGGCAGAAGCACGCTTGTGAGTAGAAATTTTACTGTGGATCCAGCCCTCTGTATCTTTTATAAGTTACAACACAACTGAAGTTGGTATTTGAACTGATGGAACTGCCCTGTATTGAAATGGCACACTGGTTCATCTTCATTATCGGAGAATCTGAAAAGCCATTGCCGGTCACGGGAAGATCATTCCCAGCACTTTTCAGTGGGATGCCAGGGTCTGGATTTGGCACCTTCTGCAAGCACAGCAGATGCTCTACCTTTGAGCCACAGTCCCTCCCCCAGGGACAAAGCTCCCGCACATCCTGCCTTGGCCTGTTCCTCTCTTGCTGCTGCTGCTGTGGGGAAAAAAATGCTGCAACGGTAGGACTGGTGAAAGAACCTGGGGAGGAACGGGCTGCATGCATTCCAATGGCTTTGTGATTTTTCTGCTGCTGTGGGAAAAACATGCTGCAACAGTAGGACTGGAGAAAGAACCTGGGGAGGAACGGGCTGCAGGAAGAGTTGTTGCATGCATTCCAATGGCTTTGTGATTTTTAAAACCTACAGGGAAGATTGTCTGGAGAGCAGCGATTCAATTTTTAATTGAAAACGGACTGATGTCTAAATGGAAACGCCCTCCACTGAAAACAGACTTTTCAGGAGAGATGACAGTCCCATCACAAACACGTAACCTGAAACCGTTATTTCACAAATGCTAGCCAACACTGCATCAAAAGAAGAAACTGCACATATTATTTCTGCCAAAGCACTGGAACTGCTGTTCCACCGAGGGTTCAAAACAGAAAAATGGTGCACCTTCCCCCTCTCTTCTCAAACTTGCCAGCCACTTCCCATTCACCCCAACCAGCTCTGTGTGATTTACAAGGTCCGGTGTGATGTCTATGCCAGAGGGTAGGGTTATATATGCATTCAGCTTGAAACTGGATGTCTGGTTCCAAATCAGCAGTGCAAAAATCCCAGCTTTTGTTGAAATGGAAAAAACGACCAGATTCTAGTCCTTAAGTCTGCACAGAGAAGCTTGAAGTTACAAAGATGGAGCCCGATAAAGCCACAGGTTAGCCTGGGGACTTACGGTTTGCCAAACAACACTGTGACGGATCTCAGCTTAACCTCCCACAGGTTTTGAAGGAGTACGGGCAGATACATAAAATGCAGCACAGTTTCTCACTTGAAAACAGAGCTCTTTGACTGAAAGTTGTGCCAGAGGCTATTATACAAAGTCACATTCAAACAGAAACCTGGACCAATTTTCAGGAGGGTTAGGAGCAACTGTGACCCTCTTGAAAATTTACGCTTCACCAATTTATAAACTGCCCTCTCTGCCTGAAGGCATCCAAGATGACATACGAGTTTTAAAGACGTGAATCCAACAATCCACAGTAAAATGTTAATAAGAACAGCAGCGGCAACTGTAAACATGTAAAGCAACCTGAACAGCCAACCGTATAAAAGAACTTGTATTCATCAGTGCACAGAAGGTGTTCAGCAAAAGACCATTTTTACTTACTGGTGGAATTATAGGAAGGAAACAACCAAGATGATATCCTGTGGCAGGGTATTTCACAGGGCAAATACAGCCATGGGAAAAGCTCCATTCTGAGGTCCCACCATTTTTGCTTGGTAAATGGCAGAATACAGAACAAGGTCTTCCCACAATAAATCATGGAACGGGGACGGGCAAGGGAAGGACATACAGGAGAAGGACTTCCCTACCATAATGGATCTGGACGGACAGAAACCCATCTCCCATGTAATATCCAAACCGGTCCAGCATAAGGGGAAAACTCAAGCCGCTTGCCTGTTGTTTAACAAGATGTTGGAGCACTTGATGTCTCGGTGCAGGAAGTTCTTTTTGTGACAGTAGTCCAGCCCCTCCATCAACTGCTTCATGAAAGACTTGATGTGGTCCTCAGAGAAATGCACTAATCCAGATTCTAGCAATCCCATGAGGTCGTGGTCCATATATTCAAACACAAGGTAAAAGGCACCTGGCAGGAATGGAAGAGGAGGGAAAACACAGTGCTTTTAAAGACTGAGGGCCTGTCTAAGATTTGACTAGAGTTCAGAAGCAGAGGGAGGAAAGGCTTCCATGTCAGCGCTCCTTCATTTAAGCATGGATCAAAACACTTGACACTGTTCCAAGTGCACAAATGGGAAAATCCAGAAACCTCTCCACTTTTACTCCAAGAGCAGTGCTCGCTGTCTGACTTCCCTTCCGCCCCTCCTCTTAGCCTTCATCATCAGACGCTGTGAACTTTAAAAGCTCCAGCTCATCACTTGCCTCAAAATCATGCTAACAGGCTTGACCAAATCAGCGAAATCCCCCCAACATCCCCACTCCAACTGATAAGAGCTGCTTATGCCAGGAACCTTACCCTCTAGGGAAGCAATGCTTTCCGCTTACTGTGTTGGTATGGTTCACTGGCAAGCAATGGACTGGAACACCAAAAAAAAAAAAATCATTCTCGAAATCTAAAGATCTTCAAGATATAGAGGATATTTCAAGGCAGTTGGCAGTTGTGTTACGGAAAGTCACTCCCATTTTGGCATCCTTGGGAAATAGTCATATATGACCACCAGTGTTCCCTCTAAGCTGAGTCAGTGTGAGCTAGCTCACAGTCTTTTAGCCTCCGGCGCACACATTTTTGTCTTAGCTCAGGAAGGATGGCTCCAGAGCAAACTAATTTATGCAGTAACCAAATCGCTCGCTCACAACTTGAATGCCAGTAGCTCACAAAGTAGATTTTTTGCTCACAAGACTCCAGAGCTTAGAGGAAGCACTGATGACCACCCAAGTTGCTTTAGTTGGATCCTTCCACACAAAGACTGTTCACTGCTAATGAGGTATACTCCGACCCAACTCACAGGCAGCCTGCCCTGGACCCCTGTGCAGTGCTGCTGAGCAATATTTCCTACCCCAGCAGATACCTTTGTCCTTCTTGAAATCCAGTGCATCTTGTTTATCCGTGACTATTTCCTTCATGTTGACAACGCTACGGTGGATCAGCTGTCGGAGGATCTTGATTTCGCGAATCGCTGTGATGGGGAAGCCCTCCTTCTCATTGTCTAGCCGCACTTTCTTCAAGGCCACCAACTCACCTGCCAAATACAAACTGCATCTGGTGAGAAGACAGAACATTGTGCCCAAGAAGAGAACTGCCCTGTTAACACTGCCACTCCCAGTGAATTGGGCAAAGGCCATTAACAAGGTACATGTCTGGGGACAAAAATGAATCACCAGAGATAAACGAAGGGAAAATTCCCCACCTCCTACAATGCAAACCCCCAAGTGCTGGACAGGTGTCTTCCTCGGTGGAGGGGGGGAGGGCGGTTAATTTGAACTGGAGAAAGGATTTTTCCTGAAGACCTAATAAGCATCAGCTCCCCTCCCCAACTCTTAGTTTTAAAGGGATCAGAGTCCTTAAAAGCATCCTGGACTTGGGAATAATTAGGGTCTGAGAATGCACGGTATGTCCCTAATTGTTCCTTTCCAGGAACCCACAATCTGTTAAAGAGTTCAGAGATGGTACCCTGCCTCTCCCTCACCAGCTCCCCACCACAAAGGGTGCTCGACTGCCCTTTGTATTCCATGCATCCTAGAGAGCCACGAGTATACTCATTCCTCGCCAAGCCATCCTGGGATTTCTCCCTCTCACCCCAACGCCCCTAACACAAAGTAATATTTTCCGCATATTTGGAAAGTTCCCTTGTGTATGAAGAAACGATGACTGAGGGGTGACATGTCAGAGGTTTACTAAATTATGCATGGGATAGAGAAGGCAGAGAAAGAAGTACTTTTCTCCCTTTCTTACAATAAAAGAATTAATGCGCACTTATGAGCACTAGGCTTAGACCAGATAAAAGGAAGTACTTCTCCCCAAAAGTAATTAACATATGGAATTCACTGCCGCAGAAAGTGGCGGCTGCTACAAGCGCAGACAGCAAAAGAGGACTGGATCAACATATGGAGCAGAGGTCCATCAGTGGCTATTAGCCATAAGGTATAGATAGGAACTCTCAGTCTGGGGCAAGTGATGCTCTGTCTTCTTGGTGCCTGGGGGGGCAACAGTGGGAGGACTTCTGGAGTTCTGGCCCCGCTGGTGGACCTCCTGATGGCTCCTGGGTTTTGGCCACTGTGTGACACAGAGTGTTGAACTGGATGGGCCATTAGCCTGATCCAACATGGCTTCTTTTATGTTCTTATCTACCTTTTCAACTTCCCAAACGACAGGTAAAGGACTGCCAAATCTGCTATTCCTGTATACAAATGGGCAGGAAGAAGGTAATAAATTATTAGGATATCCCCACCCACTGAACACCAAACCGTAGTGCAATACTGTTGGATCTGGGGCTAGACCTGCAGCTTCCAGCTCATCTAGCTCTGGATTTCAGACATCTACCCCTATAGCACAATTGGCCTGACAGTGGCCATAAGCCTGAACCATACAACACAAGAACCAGGTATTTTTACCCTTCGCAGCTATTCTGTATGGGAGAATCTCATAGGGGAGGGAACTGGGGCGGAGGAGAGCACATCTCACAGTATTCATCGTACACCTCTAGTTTCAGTCCTCATTCCAAAACGTGAAAACTTGATCGGGGCTTTGCTCTTTTCACAGTTTAAAGAATCCATGGAGCAGGGGTGCAACTGATGGGGAAAGTTCTTTTCCTTGGTCTCAGTTCCCACCCCCCCCATTTCAGACCAATTACAGCTCTTAAAAATATCGTGGCATCCTGGTATGGCCGGGGAAGGGAAAACTAGGGTTGGGGAATGCACACTTTGCAGCACACAACACCTGGACACAATAAGGTCCCAAAGAAGGCCAATGCCCCATCATTTCCACTGAACTGTTTTCACACACATACACATACACACCCCCACGCACTCAACTGCTCCCCTCCCAGTGCTCTTTGGGCCATTTGAAAGGGTTTTTTGTTGTGGTTCTTTTTTTCTAATGTGCAAACTATATTTTTTTTTGACAGCTGAGGAGTTCCCCAAGAATACAGAAAACTCTTACCCTTGTCTGAGCCTGGCACAATATCACTATCCTAATGAATTTTTTTAAAAATTTACCCTGAACTTTTATACCATATATGCTACTCAGCAGTTAACATAACACCGCAAAAAATATACAACAAATCAGCACCACGTATGCACACACAGCTGACAGACAGATGTCCCAGTGTCCTCTCTGATTCTCAAGGGCTTCCTGCTAATGCAGCTCTGGCTGTTGCTCCCCCAGGTACAAACACACCCCACCAGAAATAGGTTCCCAAGCTAAAATTCTGCAACTGGTCCCTAACAGCCTCTGTGGGGGAGTGGGGATGTCTTTCCCTGCACCTCTCCCTCTGTGCAGCTGGACGCTGGAGGGAGGTGGCCTTGAACTCCAAGCAGGGCTCCAGCCGGTCACCCTTCTCTCCCTCTGATGGGCTCAGCAAGTAGGCTCAAGCATAGCCCTATCCAGTTTGCTATTACAAGGAGTGATGGCAGCTCTTATGCGACCAACGCAAGATGATCTAAGTTGGAAACCCCTGGCTAGGGGTGTGCAATTGTTTTTTTACAGTTCAGGTCTACCGGACCCCCCAAAATTTTGGGATTCCTGAAAAATCCCAGATCCCAATCAATGCTCCCTCTAAGCTATGGAGTCCTGTGAGCAAAAATTCTACTTTGTGAATTAATATCTATTCTATATAACCTACTAAGTGAGAAAATTTGGAATCAGCCTTCTAAGATACAGAAAAAGTGGGAGAAAGAATGCTTGAGTATTACAGATGATAGACACTGGGAAAAAATATGGAATTCATTCTCATTTAAAACCAATAATATGGTGGTAAGACTACAACATTTCAAACTGTACACCAGATGGTACTTAACACCTGACAGACTATTTCATTGTAAATTTAAAGCAAATCCTTACTGCTGGAAAGGATGTGAAACTAAGGGAACATTCAGCCATTGCTGGTGGTCCTGTAGGAAAATATCTAAATTCTGGAACAAAATAATATTTGAAATCTTTAAGATTACAAATATAAAACTACCACACACAATGGAATCTTTAATTCTAAATTACTGGACCAATCTAACATTATCCTCGCAACAAATTGAGATGTTGGTTCTAATGCTTTGTGCAGCAAAAACTTTAATTGCACAGAGTTGGAATAGAAGAAAAGTTCCCAGTATCTACCAGTGGTATGTTAAATTATGGGATATTATTATAGCAGATAAAATTGCGACACAACTGAAAGTGTCTTATGGGATGATACAGGATAACAACTTTGTTGAAAAATGGTTTAAATTCTTTGACTATGTTGTAACAAATAAAAACAGACATTGTATATTACCAGAAAAATATGAACAAATAATGCTATATTAAATGTACTTAACTACTTGGATGTATATTTGGGTTTGTACAGAGCTTAGAAGTTTGGATAACAATGGTTAATTGGTAGGCTAAAGTTTGTAAGTGTTGTTGTATACGAATTATGTTAAAATATTGTTGAATTTTTGATAACTGTTGTATTTGAAAACCAATAAAAATTGTTATAAAAAAAAAAGATATGTGAAGGACAGGTCTAACAGCAGCTACCAGCTGTGACAGCTCAGTGGAACTTCCATGTTCATTGACAATTTACCTCTGAATATCAGACACTAGGGACAAATGACAGAGGACTGTGGCTTTCAAGCCCTGCAGTCAGCTTCACGGACACATCCTGCTGGCCACATCAAAAGCCAACAGGGCTTTTATATTCTTACAGTATCACCAGCACCCTTCCTTACACAAATTTGGTGTGACCTAATTTCCTTGTTTCATTTATACCCCACCTTCCTCCCCAAGGGGGACCCGAAGTGTCCTACGTCATTCTCTTCTCCTCCACTTTATCCTCACGACAAAATTGTGAAATAGGTCAAGGCGAGTGCATGTGACTGGGCCGAGATCAACCAGTGAGCTTCCACAGCAGGAGCTGCAGGATGTTAATACTGTACAGCACTCTGAATATTGTATACTATAGAAATTATTAATAATAAACCTCTTACTGCAACTGCTTCCACTTAACCATCTCCTAGTTTCACATGTGTGAAAGTTCTGTTAGCCAATATACTACACTTGACAAAGTAGCTATTTAAGACTCAAAGCAATATGGGGGGAAATGGAGCAAGGGTAACACATGACAAATACCCACCTGTGTCCTTGTCCTTGGCTTTGTACACTTGACCGTATGTCCCCTCGCCAATAATACCAATGATATCAAATTTGTCTACACAACGCTTTCCCCAGTCACTTTCTGTCTGCCTCCTTTCACCGTAACGAGGACAACAGATTCTGGAAGAGGGGCAAAGGAGACAGCTGTCAAAATCACAAGCGTTGACCTGGACAAAACTTGGCTGAACTGGAAGGATCATCCTCTCCAATTTCGGAGGAACTGTGGCTCAGTGGCAGAGCATCTGCATGGTATGCAGAAGGTCCCAGGTTCAATCCCTGGTATCTCCAGTTAAAAGATCTGGCAGTAGGTGATGTGAAAGACCTCTGCCTGAGACCCTGCAAAGTCGCTACCAGTCTGAGTAGACGATGGACCAAGGGTCTGATTCAGTATCAGGCAGTTTCATGTGTTCCTATGCTGTTGCCAAGACAATATCTCAGTGCATGAAGTCCTATTGTTGCAAATAATCCAAGGACATGCAGTGTGCAAAAAGACTTTAAAACACCACCAATTGTTATATAAAACTGTATTATGTGTATATCCTGCTCCTCCTTCGGAGGACTTCAGAGCTATTTATGCATGGCTTCCAGTCAATCTTCCACTTACATAGTTCGCACACCTGATTAGCGTACATGTAGCTACCTCAGAGTAAATTTGCTCAGTGTCCAAAACTGTCCTGACTAGAACACCTCTCCAGGGTATCAGACAGAGGTCTTTCCCACCCCTGCTACTAAATATTCTTTAATTGGAAATGTGGGGAATTGAACCTGAGAAACAAGCACTCTGCCAATACCCAGAGGACAAGCCTACCTGAAGCAATACAGCTGTATCATTCTTTCAGACATAATAAATTAAGAGTGTTTCATATGGCCTTCAGCAAAAAAATATGACTTCAGTCTGTACACAGGGGCGGATTAACCATTAAGCAGACTAAGCACGTGCTTAGGGCACCAGGGCCAAAGGGGGCACCACAAAGTTGGGAAAAGGATGAAAAGAAAAGAAAAGAGAATGAAGATTTGTAAAAAAAAATTGATAATTTGTGAAATATTAAAATAGATGTTGTATTGTTTTTTCGTAGAACTTTATGTAGCCCAAGCTTGGCTTAGTTTGTACAGTATATTGTGCTATCATAGGAATAAAAATTTTATTGCTGCAACCTGCATTGTATATCTGGTCAGACAGGTCAACCACTAAAATGGACGGAGTCAGTGTGGGAAGGAGGGGGGCACCAAGATTGGCCAGCGCTTAGGGCACCGGTGAGCCTTAATACGCCCCTGTCTGTGCAGCACGAAACAAGACTCAAAGCTACTTAACTAACTTCATCCCCTGCTCTCAGAGGGAACGTAATTGTGAGAAGCTCAATAGATGGCACTTCCTGGGTCACTTCCCTTTGGAGGACAGGAAGTGGGAGTCTAGTGGCGTTCCTGTAATATTTGCTTCATTTACAAACAGACAAGCAGAACACCGGTGGGGGCAAAGAAGCGCTCCTAGAGGATAGCAAATCCACTACTCCACATCTGATCTCCTGAAAGTCCTCCACCCAAGATACTTCGGCCAACTTACAGCAGCGTTGGTCTACTTCTGTCTCTCGGCCTCACTCAGAATAAATGACTGTTGAAAACACACATCTGTACCCTTCCCTCAGCTGGGCGGGCTTAGCTTCCCAGGCTCTAATGGGCAGTTAGGAGAAGCCATTGGGGAACTGTTCCATAACAATTATCCCCCATTGAGGAAACAGCCGCAGTAATTAAGGGACATTAACGCTCTTTTGTCATTGGCCTTGGGCTGGCTGTGGTCCCTTTAGGCCAAGCCCAGGCAAACTGACTAGACACTAGAATCACAGCCCCACAGACTGCGGCTTAGTTTTTCAAGTGGCCTGCTTTTACACTGTTTTGTTCCTTGCTCTGGGCATTCTGACAACAGAAAAGCAACTTATAATGGCTCCGGTCAGCCGTGGCTCGAACAGCATGCCTCACTTCTAGAGTTGTCAGCTACCTCTTCACCTGTTTTGAAAAGAAGAAGCCTGAAAACCTATTTTCTACAGGGGAACTACTCTGACCTCCCCTCAACATACCCCCCCTTTCAACAGTTTTTATATGGCTTCACAACCTGACCCACTCTGATAATTAATGATGCGCCAGAGCCCAAGTAAAACCTGTGTTAAGAAATCTTAAGTGACCACCAATTTCTACTGGGATTAAATTTACAGGTGTGGGTAACTTTTCAAGTCTTATACAAGCTTTAAAAAAAATGTGGCCTTCTAGAAGATTTCCCACGTCCACAAGGCTAGTTGGCTCCTTCTTGGCCTGGCTTCAGTTTCCTAGGAATTTTTAATTCTTCCAGGCCCCGCACAGTATTATTGTAAGTGACTGAACCTGAGCAGAAAGACAAAGTACAAATAAATGAATTTGCATTGTCCTGACTGCAGTGTCCGTCAAACAAAAGCTTCAGTTGGAGTTTAGCAACACCATTAAGATAGCTCAAGGCAGGGTGTGTTCCCAGGGCTATTTTTGGGCAGGAACGCACAGGAACGGAGTTCCGGCTGGCTCCCAAGTTGGCCACGCCCAGCAGGAACTCATTAGCATAACAGGCCACACCCAACAGCAGGAACTCATTCGGATTGGCTACATTAGGGGTGTGTGGCCTAACATGCAAAGGAGTTCCTGCTACAAAAAAGCCCTGGGTTTTGACAACAAACAAGGTAAACAGAATAACAAGCAAAAGGTGGGTGTGGCTGGATAACCACACTTCTGGTAACATGTGGGTGCGGCCTAATGTGCTAATGTGCTGCGCTGTCAGGGGTGTAGCCCGATATGCTAATGAGTTCCTGCTGGGCTTTTTCTACAAAAAGAGTCCTGGTGTTCCCTATATAGAAACAGGAAGAACCTCCCCCAATTCCCCTGGTACCAGATTACAAAGAAACATACCATCCTGTGCATTGAGAGTTAGGGCAGCACAGTGGATAGAAGACACCATTTGGAACCAAGGAGCGAGTCCCCAGTTCAAATTCGCCTCTGCCTTGAACTCACTAGGGGATAGTCATGCACCAACCATTCCCGCCCCTCAGACCTACATCTGCAGCAGGGTGATAACAATGCTGACCACTCTTACAGGGCTGCCATAAGGCCTGCAAATGAAAAGGAAGCACTTTGAACACTCTAAGGCATGACAAAGTCTAGTGGCACCTTTAAAACCAAGAAAGCTTTATTCTGGGCATAAGCTTTCCTGTGCACGCACATGAAAGCTTATGCTCAGAATAAAACTTTGTTGGTCTTAAAGGTGCCAGTGGACTCAAGCTTTGTTCTGCTGCTTCAGACCAACACGGCGACCCTCCTGAATCAATCTAATGCACGGCTACAACTGCTAATTACTACTGCTACTGCAACAACATGTCTCAAGACAGCTTGAACAGTGATCTGGCAAGCTACTCGTGTGGGAAGGCTTGTTCCTCAGCTCAGATGAGCGGCTACGTTCATAGGGCTGGCGTGTCAGATTTCACCCAGCTCGTTCCGTCTCCCCACCCACCCACTTCAAACTTCACAGATCTACCCCAGCAAACAATGTTTTGACAAACACCCAAATGCAATCTGAAACTGCTGCCAGACAGTCAGGTGGGCCTCCTTACTTTGGTCTCTTTCTCAACGGTTGCTGAGGTGGTGTGGCTGCCTTTGGTTCTGGAGACTCAGGTGGTGAAGGGTCTCCACCGGGAAGCTCCGGGGGTAGCGGGAGGTCCATGAGCGAGTGCCGCGGTCTCTGCTCTTTGTCCTTCTTCACGGGCTTTGGAGGAGCGATCTCTTTTGGACTAGAACAGTGCAGAAGAGAAGAAATGAACATGTGAATGGTTTCAATGCCCCACTTGTGGCAGCAGAGATAGTGACTAGCCTCATTCACGCAGTGAGGTGGTCCCTGTGATTCTGCGACAGCCAAAAGGCAGCAGCTAAAGAATCCTCAGGCACAGGGCCAATCAAAAGGCTGCCACATAGACAACAAATTTGATATCTGCCACAGATCTGGGTACACCGAGAATCCGAGCTTTCCCCCTAAAATCAGCATGCAGCACCTTAACCCACATGGTTGCAGCCAAAAAAGTACCAAAATGACCTGGCAAGGAAGGGTTGGTCAAGACTCAGAAGCTGCAGGAAGGCTTTCCAGCAACTGATAACATGGGGATTTAAGAGCCACGCACGGTGCCTTGTCTCTCTCCTACAACTATTGATCTACTTCATTTATCCCCCTCCTTTCTCCCCACCCATGCAATGCCTCACTACGAATGATGGGGTAGGAGAGGCCAGCTTACATATGAGACACCACGGGGCCCCATTGTAAACCACCACCACCCCGTCTCTTCAGATATATCCATGGCTATATACTGGGTAAAGCAGGAGCAATAGGGGCGGGAAAGTACCACCCCAAGGGAGAGACAAGGGGCTGCACCAGAGAAAGCAGGGCTGCCTGACATCATGCATGCTGATCAGCCACCTTCTCCAAGTCCAACACTGATGACTTGGACCGGCAACAGCAGCCCAGAATCCCAGACTGAAGCCTGTTCCAGGTCTGCAACCAGAGATCCTTTACATGGGAATTTCACATGGGTTTCTTTGACATTTAAGTGCTGGTTATTACCTTTAAAGCATAATAATTACCTTCGATTACGAGCACCCCCGTAATTATCAAACTGCTTCTCCCTGAGCCAATTACGTTTCTCAAACAGCCTCCCTCCTGAAGATGCCCTCTCACGGGATTGTCCCGAAGAGGGCAATCATTAGATCATAGGTTTTCTCTGTGGCAGGCCCAGTCCTTTCGTATCACCTACCAGAATGGATGCCGTGGACACCCTCATTCATCACGTTTAGGAATGAAAGTAAGACACTCTTATTCTAGAGAGTCTTTGGTGGAAGGTAAAGTGTTCCAGCAATTTGCCTACATTCATTCTAACTCTGTCGGTTTTTTTCAATCTTGAGTACTCTTTGGTGAGTAATCTGTGTATTTGAATCATGTTAACAGGACTAAAAAAGAGCAAGAGTCTGGTAGCACCTTAAAGACAAACAAAATTTGTAGTAGGGTATGAGCTTTCATGAGTCACTGCTCACCTCTTCAGATACAGCTAGAATGTAAGTCCATCTGTCCTATATATTGGAAAGTGGAGTGATTTAAGATGCCAAATGACATTAGCAGGAAAATGATAACAGCAGGTATGATTGGATTAGGTGTGATATGCAGAGGGGTTAGTAGTCATAGAGAAATCAGCATTGGTAATGAGACAGGAAACCAAGGTCTTGATTCAGTCCAGGAGGATGCATTGTCTTGAGCTTCATTATCAGTTAACAGGACTGTTAGAATGTGTGTCCCCACAACCTGGGTGCTAAACTGTTAGCTTCCTTGAGTCCCAGGAGATAAAGTGGGAACAAAAGGTTGGAAATAAACATAATCATGCTCTTCATCACTACATCCCCTATCCCTAGGAACTAGAAGCATGGCTCACACATACAATATACCTGGGCATTCCCTCCACGTCCTGAGGACTCACCACAACTTTAATATATACATTAGGGCTTTTTTCCCCATCAAGCCTATTAGTTTCAGGGTGCCAATGCACAAACCAGATGTTTCACTTCTGAACTCGTGCCACAAAATGAGCCCTGGATTCTAAACTGCAGAGCACACCATTCCCCTATACTGACTGGGAGAGGCTTCTCAATAAGACTCCCTCCCCACCATGTCCCACTTACCTATCCATGTCATCTTCTCCAGGCAGGACAGGCGGGAAAGGGAGGGGAGGCAACGTTGACGTCTTCAGATGGGGTACAGCGGTTGTCACAGAGAGGTGCACTTTTGAGGAGAGTTGCGCGGTGGGTTGAGAGTTGGCCTGAGTGGTCAGAGATGTCCTGGAGTGGGCAGAGGCAGGCACAGACGAAGGAGCGGAAGCGGGGGTGGGAACAGTGGGCGACTGGGCAGGGGGCAGAGGGGGAGCTGCCAGCGATGGAGGCAAAGGGGGCAATGGAGGCGGAGCCTGGGGAGGGGGCGATGATGCCGGCAGGGGAGGTAGTGACTTTGCAGAAGGCAAAGGAGGCGGGGCCTCCTTCTCCGTTGTCTCTGTCTCCTTGGGAGTCACAGTCTCCTCCTTGGCAATCACAGGCTTCACATCTTTTGTTCCCACTGCTTTTGAGTCTTTTGGGGGAGCAGGCAGTTTCCTCTCAGAGTTCTCTACCGCCTTCGTTTTTACGGGATCAGCAGCAGTTTTCGCCTCTGCGTTGTGCTGTGCCACGTTGGCTGGCTCGGCATCAGAAGGGCACTTTTCAGGCTTAGTTGTTTTTGCCTTCCTGGCCTCCGCTGCCAGCTCCTTAACTTCAGCCAAGCTGTTCTCTTTCCTAGACAAAAAACTAGGAGAGTCCTTGGTCTCCTTCCCATCAACTTTTGCAGCAGCTGCTGCTGCAGCCGCCCTCTCCTTTTTCTTCCTACTCAGCTCAGCACCCAGACTGGAGTTCAACGGTAGCCGAGCAGGTGAGATACTGGAATGGCGGCTGCGGGACCCCGATCTCTGCTTTTTGTTGTGAGATGACGAATGCCTTGAATACGCAGGACTTCTGCTTCGAGATTTTGCGGGTTTCCTGTGGAAACAGAAGAGGAAAATTTGAATCCCTGAGATCGCAGAGATTTCATAAGAACGTAAGAGACGCCAATGTGGGATCAGGCCAAAGGCCCATCCAGTCCAACACTCTGTGTCACACAGTGGCCAGAAATACCAGTGCCATCAGGAGGTCCACCAGTGGGGCCAGGACATTAGAAGCCCTCCCACTGTTGCCCCCCCCAAGCACCAAGACAGAGCATCACTTGCCCCAGAGCCCCTATCTATACCTTGTGGCTAATAGCCACTGATGGACCTCTGCTCCATATGCTTATCTAATTCCCTTTTGAAGCCGTCCATGCTTGTAGCCGCCACCACCACCTGTGGCAGTGGTGGCAGTGAATTCCATGTGTTAATCACTCTTTGGGTGAAGAAGTACTTCCTTTTATCCGTTCTAACCCGACCGCTCAGCAATTTCATTGAGTGCCCACGAGTTCTTGTCTTGTGAGAAAGGAAGAAAAGTACGTCTTTCTCAACCTGCTCTATCCCATGCATAATCTTATAAACCTCAATCATGTCACCCCTCAGTTGTCGTTTCTCCAAGCTAAAGAGCCCGAAGCGCTTTAACCTTTCCTCATAGGGAAAGTGTTCCAACCCTTTTATCATTCGAGTGGCCCTTTTCTGCACTTTTTCCAAAGCTATAATATCCTTTTTAAGGTGTGGTGACCAGAACTGCACACAATATTCCAAATGAGGTTGCACCATTGATTTATATAGGGGCATTATGATATTGGCTGATCTGTTTTCAATACCCTTCCTAATAATCCCCGCCTAATAAAAGGCGGCATTGGCCTTTTTTATTGCAGTCACACACTGTCTCGACATCTACTACAAATCCAAGATCTCTCTCTTGTTCAGTCTCTGCCAGTTCAGACCCCATCAATGTGTATTTATATTTAGGATTGTGCATCACCTTGCATTTGGTTACATTAAACCCCATTTGCCATGTTGATGCCCACTTGCCCATCCTTGACAGATCCCTTTGGAGTACCTCACAATCCTCACTGGTTTTCACCACCCTGAACAACTTCGTATCATCCACAAATTTAGCCACTTCACTGCTTACTCCCAACTTCATATAGAAAAATGCAAGACTCTCGCTCTCCTGATTACAGAGGTCTGCAAGCAGTTGGCATGATCCACTGACTTCAGTGCACATGAAGACTTCCCACAGGCGTCTCCACTGCCTTCTGCTGAGTTGGAGATTGGGACAAGCTTGCCAGAGAGTCCCAGCTAGGCAAGTGATCACTGCGTCTCTCTTCGGTGAGTGTGAGCCAAAACATGGGACTTCATCCATAGCTGCAAAGCCCAAATAACTCCCAATTTCAAAAAAAGAAAAATTTATCTTTAAAACACATAAAGCAATCTTTGGATAATACAAGTGACAGTATGCAGCTGAAAAGCAAAGACAACAAAAGCGTCTGAGCACAGGGAAAAAAACCAAGCAAATATAAACACAACCTTCTCCCCCTAAATTTATTTATTTAAATCTAAAACTTATCTCTGTAATGTTAAAGAGAAAGGCTGAAATAACTTAACGGTTCCAGGTTTTGTTCTTCAGACTATGTTCACCTCAGAGTTACCTTCTTCCTTCATCTGGCTGGTCTCCTCTCTTCAGAACACGTGCTTGTGAGGGTCTCCTTCAGACTCCCCACCAAGTCTCCAGAATGTCAGAAGCATGCCTGGCCACCCCCTCAAGGAACTTCCTCTTCCCCCAACCCCCCCCCCCCCGCCCAAACCATTCCTGTCGTAAATGAATCAGGAAGACAAGGGGAAGACAGGAGCTTTCTGGTAACAGCAAATATGGCGTGGGGGGGGGGGGTTCCCAACCTTTTCGAGCTTGTGGGCACCTCTGCAATTCTGACACAAGGCGGCGGGTGCAACCACAAAATGGCTTCCGTTGGAGGCGGACCCAAGCACATGGGAGGAACCAGTAAAAACAAACGCTGCAGTGGCAGCTGCCACTGGAACGATGCTATTTTGGTCGGCACGGCCAATCTGATCTTCAGTGGCAAAAAAAGAAGCCCTACTGGGCAAGAACCCCACCAGGGACCCTCCCACTTCTGAACAACACTCGGCGAGCACAAAAAAGTATTGGTGGTTGCCATGGCACCCACGGGCACCACACTGGGGGCCCCAAAGCACTGGTCTAGGGTCTGGTATCTCCAGGTTCAACCCCTTGCTCTGTCACGGGAGCTCGCTGGGTGAATCTGGGCCAGTCACACATGGCCAGCCGGATCCACCGCCTAGGATGGTCGTGAGAATAAAATGGAAGAGGACGATGGAGGCTGCCGTTCCCACTGGGGGAAGAGAGGAAGGGTGCAGACAAAGTAAATAAATAACTGAGGCTCAAAGGTCCCCAATTCCTGTCAGCACCACCTGCCCTGGCTTTCCTCTGTCTTCCGGGGTTGCCTTCATTACCACACGATCCGTTATGTTACTCTGCAGCTTGGAATAACTGAGAAAGGAAGGGGGGAAAGGACTGGCTTTCTTTTGACTGGACTACTTGTAAAGGCAATTTAAGGAGTGTAAAAATCCAATGTTTATAAAGTAAAATGGAAACATTTTTACACAGATACCTGGGGTATGGGGTGCAGTTACACCACAATAATACCAAAGTCTGGGGATAGGTCTTTCCTTCAGTGGCTAGAGGGGTGCCAGACAGCTGGGAGGAAAATAAGAGCATGACACCCTTTGACTGGGCTAGCTCCGCTCTCAAGTTTCTCCCCTGCTGCCACCAGTCTTGCTGGTAACTCCTCCAAGTGCTGAAGGCTGAGAAGCCCCAGCAATCTCCACGTCGGGACAATGGCCTCTGGGATCCCATTCCGTAAGTGCTGGAAAGCCTCAGGGATGGTTTGCCAGCTCACAAGTGCCAGAAGATGCTGCAGGTACATTGCAGTGACTGCTGGCTTTGCCACTTCCAAGAGCTCAGGAAAAGGTGTGGCTGAAACTCCATACAGAGTTGCACCCACTTAATGGAGGGCTGCTAAGGCTGCAGATACAGACAGCATATTGTTACAGGCATAATTGTCCACATATGCTGTGTGAAATAATAACACCCCATTGAATAGTTAATTTTTCAGTGCTACAAAGCTCAACTCAATTATCCAAATACATTGCTAGCCTTATGATTGTAGGGAACTGTTGCTGTTCAAACACCACCTTTTCTTTACTACAAAGTCTGTATTTTCTATTTTCATCTTTTACTTTTCACCACCTCACAGATGGCAGAAACAAAAGACATGTGCTAAGATCCAATTCCCTCTCAATTTAGCATCGGGTGTAATTAGCAACTAGAAAATGAACTTTCTAGATTAATAAATATGCCAACTAGTACAATTTTTTATGCTGAGCTACAAATTATTAATTTTATGTTGTTAAAGCAGTAAAATAAGTTCAGCCTTGATAAGGAGGTAAGCACTGCATATGTTTTCATTTAAAAATAATAATAATAACCTCTCTGTCCCCAACCATGGCTTTAGATTTTTTTGGAATATTTACATCTGTAGGCTTCACTTTGCCACTCATGAGCTAACAGTCAATATCAGCACAACCAAAAGCTGGATAAAACAGCACCGTGGGCCAGACCTTCTGGTTCGTTGGCCCCCTCACCTACATGAAACCTAAACTGTAACACTAGATAATTATATTCTTACTGAATTCTTCGAAATAAACTAAACATGAAATTACAGCTACAAATTAAAAGTTTATAAGCTAGCTATTTCAGTCCAGCACGCTCAGAGGCTGTCAAAGATTTAGAATTCTCTTCCCATGAAGAGTTATCCATGCTATAGTCTTGCTACCCAGTGGAATAATTTCAAAATATCCCCATATCCCTTTATGAATCCAAAGCAAAGCTGGTAGTAGGGAATATGGGTACTGCTTCAAACCGGCTTCTGGCATACAGTGAAATCTGGCTGCCTAGTTACTTAAAAGGCAAGTTAATGGTTTTGGAGTCTGAATCACTCCAACACTTGGGGAGCTGCCTGTTTTGTCCCAGTGCAGTTTTGCTATGATCTTTGGCAAAAATAGTATGTTTTATTATAATTAATTTTCACTACTGAACATCAGCATGGTTTCTGAGATTCGGATACAATGCTGGAAAAATCCCAGCTGGCAAGGTTTTGGCAATGGTGGTTATGGCAAGTCGGGCTCACTTCAGGTAAATCTGGCAGTACACCAGGGTCACAAGGAGGGTCAAGTTCAGACAAAAAGGCAGCCCACCAAGCCACTGAAAGCCACCAAGTATGTACCACTGACATAAGTGTGTTCCATCCAAATTAATATAAAGATTTGAGTACCATTTCAGGCCAATGACTTCAGCTTCATTCTGTTTACCAACCAAGCTCTCAATAAGTAACTTCAACAGGCATACCAGTCATTTCAGCTAGTTAAAACCGTCTGCCAGGCCTCCCAGATGGGAAATACAAACCGGTTTCTTGGGGATACCAGGTCACAATTTACAGCTGTTATTCTGAAATCACAAGAGGAGTGCTCCCCCCCCCAAGAAAAAAGACAGTTGCCAAAGGCAATTCACTCTCTTCCTTGAATGGTGCAAGTTAAAAAAGTCCCAACCCTTGTACAGATAGTCCATGCTTGTGACAATTATTTCACCTACCCAAAGAGCATCCAAACATGTTTCTTCTGACAAGTTCGAGGATGCCAAAGTTGGAGCCACTTGCCCATGAAGAGTAAAATCACCTCCAAGTGACCATGCAGGAAAACTTCACAAAGTGGCTGTTCTTATTTCTTTTTAGATTGTTTTGCAAGTTGCTTCAGAAGTTTCGAAGCCCCTCTCCTACTCTTCTTTTGCTTGTCTGACTTTGCAAAGCCTTCTGTGACATTGTCTGAGATCCCCCGATCTGCATTTACCGTCACTGTTTATCAATAACTCAGTGTTCTTCAGGCGTTTACCACTGCCTTTCAGCTCTCTTGTCTGACCATTATCGCAACACACACCCCTTCCCATTTAACAGCATTTCC